AAGAATACTTACACAAAACTTGGGGTCGCTGTATCCAGCCCAACAGCCTTCTTTCAATGCAATAAAATCAGGTCAAGCTAGAAAAATATCTGCCACTCTTGCTAGTGTTCAGACTGCTCTTTTTGTTTGTGGCACAGCCTGCACGGCATTTGCATTTCTGACCTGTTGCACACAGGACCAGCTCCAGAGCACTGATCACACTGATGGGTGTCTGGGACACTTGCACTGACCTTCAGTCTCAGCCCTAGTACTGCTTCCTTCCTTCTTCCTCACTCAACTACATCACAGCAAATTTGAAAAATCTTCCCAAGCTCTTAACTGGAAACCTATTTTTGACCTATTGTTTATCAGAATTTTAAAATGTCAAAGTTACTTCAATGTCCACGTTTCTGGAACATTTTGCTGTTTGAGTGGTTGGGATATGCAGCTCAAAAGATGAGTATATATCAAAAACTTTGAGATTCAGTTTTTCTCCATATGTGTAAATAGCATTATAAGTATTTGCATTTTCAGAATGTCCTTTGTAATTCATCAGAACTGAGGGTTTGTTTTGTGCGTAATGTAAGATTTGAAAAAATATGTTAAAACAATGCAATGCTGAAAGACTGCAATACATTTGCTGCTGTCTGTATCCGAGTCAGTGATGGGGATTGAGGTCTTATTTCCTGAGCTATATGAAGTCACTTAATTTGGTTCAACCTCTGCCTGCAGAGGTAGTTTGTCTCCCAGCTCCCAGTTGTCAATAACAATCCAGAACAGGCCCTGGGATCTCTCTCTGTGCCATATGTCATTGCTGCGGGGGAGTTACTGGAGGTGATAAAGAAAAGGTCACTCACGGTAAATACCTGCCATCTGCTTGGAAACTGTAACAGTCTCATGGTGATAGGAGCAATTGGAAATATTCCCATAGAGCAGTAAATTGTTACTCAGAAAGGATGATTTATTATTTTACAAGTCATTTAGTTAACTGTTTTTACTGAGACAAAAGGCATGTTGAAAACAATACTGGAAAGGAGACATAGAGCTGACGGACCCATGAAGGCTGTCACTGTGGTTTTTTACTAAGTATCAAATTAGGTTTTTTCTTCATTTCTTAGTAGTATTATTCTGCTTCTCCATTAGCTATGATGATAATGCACCCCTGAACATGGCTACTGTAGTCATCTGACCCAGAAACTAATTATTTCAAGACTGGAAAAAGCTGTTGTCCTAGAGGCTGCAGCAGAAACTGTTGTACTGTATTCACGGAGTTGAACTTAACAAGCTAAGTGGGATTTTCTTCCTTAGGACTTCCCAAAGCTGGAATATATTTACTATTAGAGCAGAAATGGTTAATTACCTGCTTTTCAGGATCATCCTTGAAGCTGTGTCAGCTGTCAGCTACCTCGTGTTTAGGGATCTCGGTGAGGCAAAAAACTGAGCCAGGTGAAGCAGAAGGGTTACCCAATCCTTGTGTTGACTTCAGCAAGGAATGCCACTTTTCAAGATTTGACTGTTTCTTAAGGAAACCTCTCTCTATTTTTTTCAAACATACTTCCCCAGCATCAATGTTTTTACAATGGTTTCTTTCAATTTGCAGCTTTCATAAAAAAGTGTAGTCATGTTGTCAGTGTTACCTTTCTATGCTGCACTGTTACGATACTGATAAAACAGTATCAGAACTCAGTTCTGATTCTTTTGCAAATGTGGCAAATCACCCACCAGTCAGCTATTCTTACCATTAGTCTCTGTTTACACATATCAAAGGTTATATTATCAGTGAAAATAAAAGCTAATTCTTCTAAGAAAGGAAGATTGGATAGGAAGAAGCAACAAATTGCTCTGAAAAGTAAAAAAGTATGTTCCTGCCTATAAATAGTGTGTGAAAGTCTTTACTTTCATTTATGAAAAAGATCAGTACGTCCCTTATCCTTTCCCATCTGAAAAAGGGGGGAAGTAAACACCTGTAAGAGGCGAGCCCCTGAAAGAGGCTGTTGTTCTGGGATAGGTCTGTGCTTCAGAGAAATGTTCATTACAGGGTTCATTACAGTGGCCCTTGGAGACAATAAAGCAAGTGACTCAGGAATTGCAGAGAAGAAGCAGCCCAGCATCTAGAGTTTAAAAAAATGCCTTTATTCTTCAAAGTGGCCCCTGCAATCTAGGTGGGAGCAGCACTAATTCATGCTAAAGTGAGTCTGTATTTTATTTCCCAAGTAAATATTTTGCATGATGTTGGCCATTCCTTAAAATGAGGCTGCAAAAAGCTTGCCACTAGGAAATAATTACAGAAAATAAAAAGTTTGACAAGTATATGTTGTGAAATGTGGACATTTGGTTAAAAGTGGACTAAACTGAAGTCACGTATGGTAGACATTCTCTTGTCTAAGTCTTCACAAACAGAAAAAACAAAGGCATACCAAAAAATGGCACGTTTTGTGCTGCAGGTGGCCTGTGTGTTCTTAAAGAATAAATGAGTCATAAAAAAAGACAGATGGTAAATAGAAGTGTACGTTAGAGGAAGCTCTAACATCGGCCTGCATTTCCTGGTGAGAAGTAGAGTCTGAAATGTACCAGTGTGCAGCTTCATGCAGCAGGGAATTTCACATTCAAACCCAGCTACGTTATCTTAATTCTTCAGACAACCATAGGAAGGTGTAAATATTACTTGATTGCATTGTCTACAATGGACACAGTACTGTCCCCATTTTTTGCTATGCCATTCTGTGTGAGGCACTTGTCAGCAGCTTTACTGAACTTCAGGGATCCTACCAAAAAGATATTCTTGGTGTTTTCTTCTTTTGGCTCTGTCAATATTAAGTCTGTGCATTTTTGATCATTCACATAAGTCCTTAGGGAATTAGCAACAATAAAATTATTAGTTGGTTTTTTTTAACTGAAAAAAATTATTTAATAAGGCACATTTTGAGTATTATATTCTCTACATTAATTTCTATACTTTCAAAACTTGAAAATCATTTTAACATATAAAGATATAAAAGCCCCATGATCTGAAATGATCTAATAAAAATAACATGGGAAATATTCCTATAATATTTAAATATATTGTTTCCCTTCTCATTTTCCTATGAAGATTATCCTAGAAATACCTAGCTGCTCAATTTTTTGAGTAATGAACACATGACTATTGGACAATATATGTCTTTTCTAATTATATTCAGAAACACAGTCTTCTTTCAGCACAAGGACTTACTCTTGAAAAAAAATCTTAATTGTTGGAATAGTATAAGCCTACTAAAGTGGGGGGAGGTTAAAGTTTATTCTAGCAGTCATTTATGGAAAACTTTTTCTAAAGTTATCTAAGACCCACTCCACTTTATATTATACCTGTAGAATGGCTCCCTAAATAATTATTATACTGCTAAATATTACAATTAATGTTTATATACTCCAAGGCTAATTTATTCACTTTTGCATTTACAGAGAAATTACTTATGCCAGTAAATTTGGCATTGAAGTAGAAATCAAATATCCCCCTGAAGAAGATATACTCCTTTACTTCATAGCTTTTCCAACTGATTTCAGTTTTCATTTTTTTTATCATACTGATCAATGCATAGACCTGTGCCTTTTCCTTAAACAGCAAATAAACCAATATCGAGTGGATGTAGTTTGAGCTAAACCTAGTACAGATCCAGTTATTGAACTGAAAGCTAGATTAGCCTTTAGAATGGATTCTAGGTAAGGCTAGTCTAACTAAAAAATTTTGAGTTTAGAGATATGCTCCTGTTTAAAGTTTAATTATATACTTTGATTTTCATTTTCTCACTGTGTTTTCCTTTTCTTTTTTTCAATGCAGATGGACCTTATGGTCTTAGAGTTAAGTCAGATAAAGGTCTGAATATAGGGGCAGTGTTTACAGTTGACATGGGAGAAGTTATACTGTTTGACTGTTCAGCAGATTCAAATCCGCCAAATACTTATTCGTGGATTCGAAGGGATGACAATACCACTCATGTAATCAAATATGGACCCCATCTGGAAGTTGTATCTGATAAAGTGGCCCAGAAGACAATAGATTACATGTGCCGTGCTTTCAACAACATGACTGGAAAACGAGATGAAACTCACTTCACAGTCGTGGTTACTTCTGTAGGTAAGAAATTAATGTCATTGCTGTAAGTGTAATATCTGATTGGAGTGTCAGCCACATAGAAAGGGATAATTCCTAGAGTATGTATCAGAATTGAGATCTGGCTAACAATGCAATAAAGGGGCTTTTGGCCATTCAGGGTTTGCGATACAGGGTTTACTCGCTGTGTGACACAACTTCAAACAAGGCCCACTAAGACTGAAGTTTTGTGGGGTTTTATTATGATGTTCATAAAAATTATTTCACTGTCATTTTTGTGAATCTCTGGATTGACTGCTAGGTTCTGTTCTCCTACACTATAACCTCAGCTCCTCTATCAGATTGTGTTAAAGAGCAACAAAGCAGTTTTTCAGAAAATCTCCAGAAGCATATAGGGAAGAACAAGATATTGAGGAAGTGTGATATCTCTTATTAGTACAGATGGATACAAGTATTTTCAGATAAAGGAGTGTATGTTATTAATGTTCAACAAGATAGAATAGATTGCCTTTAGAAAATTTAACAAAGCAATTTCTCTTGTGCAGAACAAAGAGCTCAGCCATTTGTTAGTCAGATAAACAAGGAGAGCAGATGTCCATCATTCAGGATGATTTATTGATTCATCACAAATCCATGGCTTTCAGTATGCTGGAAGGAAGATGCGTTGAGATTTTACAATGAAAATACTGCACTTGAAAACTAAACTTTGTGGTTAGTGGTGAAAGCAAATGCAATAAGAGCTGTGTCAATAGAAATAAACATGACATTTCTCCAGGAAGTTTGTGTAAGCTATGATATATATGTGATATTCATCAATATGTGTTAAGAAGTGTAGCTGAGATTTCCTTTCAAAGGGCCAAAAGAAGGGAAAACTCCACAGCTTCATGTTAAGTTGCACTTGAAATAGTAAATTTCCTAATTACAAATACTTAAATATGTATTATTAAAACATTTTATCCTGTGTATTTAAAAATGTAAAAAGGCCATTTTCCCCCTCTGTAACCATATTCTTTTTGATGAGTATTTATCCAAATAGCACTAAATCCAGATGTCAAGCCCACACTTTGCAATGCAGCACTGACTGATTCCGAGAGGTATGAATTCACGCTCAAGGCTAAATCTCAGAGATGCTGCTCAGGCTAAATTCTGGTTGTAACTGAATAAACATACCAAGCAAAGACTGTGAAATTGCTCCATATTCCTTTTCCCTATCCCCATAATCCTAGATATGGAGCCTGGACTGTGCCTTTCAAAATACCGGAAACCCCATTTTCAGCAGCAACAAGAAGTCTGATGTTTCAGAAATCCTTAAACAACTTCCCAACTAAAGGATAGAAACTCACCTATATGGTGCTATAAACAGCTGCCTAATTAATACTAAAAATGATCAAGCATCAAAAAAAAGCATCAAGCACTGTTAAATAATTGTATCAATAAGTTACAATTATATCAACAATTGCACTAAGCTTTTACCCAGTTTTAGCCAGATTTCAAAATAAGAGGAGGTATCTCATTATGTACACAAGTCATTGCTCAGTTCTCAAGTTGAGTCAACTTGAGTGTGTTAAATGCATAGGGAGCATGTCTTTGTTTTCTGCACTGGTATGATTATTGAATCGAAATTTGAAATTATTAATTTTAAAGAACAATTTTAAGAACTCATCTGATTTTCCAGCCTTTGGCCTTTTTTTTCCCTAAGGAAAGCAGTACATTGAAGGACTATGAAAAAATTTGGTGAAATTGGAGTGATTTATTTTCTCTTATCTTCAGGACACATCTAGTTCTAAGTCCTCATATTTAATCTTCATGATAACCACTGCACATGCAGCCAGCACAATGCCAGTGTACAGTAGAGATGTAAGTAGATGTAAGCAACTCTAGCTCTCTGCACAGGAGTTCATCAAGTACAGGAAATACATCCAGCTAAATAATACACATTTGATTTGTACTTATAAAGCTGGCACTGACAAACATGCACCATTAATTTACATATACAGATTGTGACATGGCCATCAATTATGAGAATTCTGCACAGTTCCGAGCAAAGGCGGAAATTAAGGGTGCACAAGCAACTATGTCTGGCACTTCCTATCACGTTCCTGTCTTTCCAAAATTCACTGCAAATGTTTTCCATGTGCTTTTGAATATGTAATTTTAGGCAATTTGTATTTGTGTTGTATGAGTAAATCCTGCTGGCAAACTGCTGCTAATGCATATCCCAGCAAAAGATCTGAGCAAGGGAAAGAAATATTTTAGATATATTTAGACATGAATTCAAACAAACATAATTTATTGGGTTGTGATGGGGTTTGATAAACAACCAGACCGTCAGTGATCTGAAAATCTTGATAAAAAGTATAATGGTTCTTTTATCCCCTCCTACTCTACAGCTCCTACCACTTAGAGGATTTCCCTCCCATCTAACACAACCTGCTCACTTGTCATCCAGTTTCTTGGTAGTTCAGTGTCTCTATGCCTACAGTTAGAATACAATCCTACTTTTTGTGATGCTGTGATTTGTGGATTATATTAACTAACCTTCATTTAGCTCTAGGTACCAACCTTCTTCTGGACTTGTTTTTGATATGCATATCATTGCTTTCTTAGTTGAAGATTTGTGGGGATAAGTAAATATTACCAATTCACAAGAACCCAAATTTTGTACCTGTTTTGTATCTCTATGCAGCTTTACTAGCTTCAAAGTAATTTCAAAATATGTATTTTTCAGTGTCATTGTAGCACATTGTAGAGAACAAGAAACTAAATACAGTATTCATCTTCTTTGTCACAGGGTTGGAAAAGCTGGCCCAGAAGGGAAAATCTTTATCTTCACTTGCAGTAATAACAGGAATTTCATTATTTTTGATCCTAGCTATGACTTTTTTATTCCTATGGAAAAGATATCAGCCACATAAAGGTATGTAAATGTTAGGCACAGTCCAGTTGTTCTTTTGAATCGTCAGAGCAAAAGGAATAATTTTTTTTCTTCTTCTTTTCAGTGATACAACAGAAGCTGCAAAGCAGGTACAAAAATAAATCATTCTTAGGTCTTGAAGTCCTTTCTATCAAGAGAATTGTATTTTATCATATTAATTTTCTTTCCCTGGCTTGTGACGTCAAACTGAGAAACATGTTTATGTTTTCTAGGCCAGAGGCTGATTACAGAAAGGCACAGGCATTTTCAGGTAATGCTAATAAAAGAAATATGAGCATAAGGTCAAAATCCTTTCCTGAAAAAAAAAATCTCCACATAAAAAAGAAAGAAGACAAGGAAGGGAAGTGTGTTTTTAACTTGAGTTGCACACCTCTATGTTAGCTTAGGACCAAAATGACAAGTCAGCATAGATTTAGCTCATGCCTGGAGTTCACAGCAGTATGTACCCTGTTGGCTTGAATTCTAGCTGTTAATCCCAGTATTTTGAGGTTAGAGTCATCTGTATCCCACTGCTCTCACCATATGACATAAATTATTGTCATTCTGGGATAGCAGTAAGAGGGGATACACCATGGGAGGATCACGATTACAGATGTTCATGGCACCAATTGTTACAAAATCATGAGATAATAACATGATATTACAGTGTATATATTTAACCTTCTGCCGTATTCTGTACTACCTTTCTCTCTGTCATCAGGACCCAGAGTGGTTTTTTTCACTTTCTCTTTTCCCTCCACAATCCTTCCCACATGATCCTGGGCAGGATATGGAGACCAGCCATCCTTTGGAAGGGTAGCACTTTTATTCCCATCCCTTTCTACCAGAGTGTCAGAGCAGACTGTAAACTGCTACATGCATGAGAATAGGGAACTATACAAATCTTAGGAAGGTAAGAATTTCACTTGAGCACAGAGAGCCCTTCACCCAAACAAGTGATATCAGAGGACAGGATCTCAGCATTGTTGTTGGTGCTGCAGTCTTTGCTGTGGAGTGATGCCCAAGAGACAGCTGAGAGTCTCCAATGTCCTGGACAGTGGGAGGGGTAGAGAAAGAGACAAACTACGCCTAACTACCAGCTGTTAACTACACCTAAATACAAGCTGTACCTGACATCCCAAATAATAATTTGGCACCTATTAGTATCATGTTTCCTTTTATTATTGTCAGCATTGTAAAAGATTCAGGTGGTACTGCCTCACTACAGTGTAGATGTGCAGAGTTTATGGATTGGGCCTCTTTTCTATGGGAAATGAAAGTAAATTTGCCACTTTAGCCTTCCAACAAAGACAGTACCAATGGCTCTACCAAAACTAAGGTTAGGAAGATGCCCCTCACTTGGTCCAAGATGTTGGAGGTCACCAAGCACTGTGCACACCAGCTGTGCAGCTGCCCTGCCTCACTCTACACCAGTTTAAGAGCTTGGCAGGGAAGTAGTTTAAATCAGATCACATAAACAGTATTCAGATGTTTTAAAAATTAGGCCAAAATACTTTGCCAGCCATTATTTTCCAGGTTCATATTACATCTTGATCCTTTTTTTTCATGTTTGTCTGTTCTAACTTTAGGACATGAAAGTGCTTCAGATGATTTTGGGATATATGAGTTTGTCGCTTTTCCTGATCTTGCCAGTGGTTCTAGGGTATGTGATTTTATATCATAAGCAGATGGTTCCTCATCTATTTCTTAAGGTGTGCTAAATATCTGTACTAGAATCCTTCTGTAGGTTTACTTCTTGTTGCTTTTTACAGATGTCTGTATGACACTGTATTCATGGCTATTGTTTACCCAGTATTTACTCTTTCTTTACTGCATTACTAGTTCAGTACTTTGTGTCAGCATGGTGCAGTAAGGAATAACCAAGCTCTAAAGACAGGAATCTCCATTCAACTACCCTATATTAAAAGAATATTAGTAGTGTTGGGTAACACTGAACCACTTGTGTCACACAAGTAACTATTGTGATGCCATTTTGTCCCTTGACCCTAATATTGTTGCTCATGCAAAATGCAACTCTGTCAATGCAGAAAAGTCTCAGGGAGGTATTTAAAATTTTCATTGTAAAAAAATATCTAAGCCAAATCTCAGCTGTATTTCACAAAAAAAGTATTTGTTTAGCTTCATGTATTGTAGAGCAGGACAAGCAAAGGAATTTTGCTAGCAGAAAAAAATCCTACTGCATTTGCTGCTTCTTTGCATTGTGTCTTTGCTCAGATTACTGTATAGTAGCTGGAGATGATTCTGAATGTTGTGTAAAAGGACCAAGAAAAAATCAGAAACAGGGCCACAAAATTTAGGGACAACAGAGTGAAATTGGGAGGAAGCAGAAGAGCGACTTTCCCAAGCTAGAGAAAATTTCTGGCAATAGAATGTTGTGCCTTTTGAGAGTATCAATATGTTCGGGTAAGGGAGAGCTCTTAAAGCATGGTTACAGCGTCACATTGTCACATAACTATTTTGTTATTATGATTAGTACTCACAATACATGATGTATTAGAAAAAAAACAGTCATAGACTAATAAATTCTCTGATGGAGTTGGATGATTGAAATATACATTTATAGGGCTAGAGTGCTATCGTAAATGTTAGTGGAGAGGACAGACTTTTACAGCAGCAGAGATAAAAGGCTCTTAGAAAACAGAGAAGCTGAACTGTATCTGTGACAGTTTGTGACAATGAGAGGCTTATTAATTTAGAGATCAGACCCTAAATGATTACAGCCTTCAGTACACTGTGATATTATACTGAAGAGGGTATATTTAGATTGTGTATTAGGAATAAATTATGTACTGTGAGGGTGGTGAGGCATTGGAACAGGTTGCCTCAGTTGTGAATGTCCCATAACTGGAAGTGTTCAAAGTCAGGTTGGACTTTGAGCAACCTGGTCTAGTGAAAGATGTCCCTGCCCATGGCAGGAGAGGGGTTGCAGGTAGATGATCTTTAAGGTCCCTTCCAACCCAAACTTTCTATGATTCTATATCCCTTAGGCTGATCATATCACAATTCTGCAAGAATCGGGGCCTTGGTAGGTCAGAAGGGAGAGACTAGTGACAAGGACAACAGAATGGATGTACAAGCAAAGAAATCTATAATAATTTTCAGTAAAATTTCAAGGAGAAACTCCTCTGGTTTATGTTCAGTTACTCAGATTTGTAGTATTGCAGATAAAGTCGGCATTTGATCCACTCATTCACTGATTTGATCCACTGTCAGCCTGACCTCAGTGCCTGGCAAGGTTATGGAGCAGATCATTCTCAGTGCAATCACACAACACCTACAGGATGGACAAGGAATCAGACCCAGCCAGCACAGGTTTAGGAAGGGCAGGTCCTGTCTGACCAACCTGATCTCCTTTTATGATCAGGTGACCCACCTGATGGGTGAGGGGAAGGCTGTGGAAGTTGTCTACATGGCCTTCAGCAAAGCCTTTGACACCATCTCCCACAGCATATTCCTGAAAAAGCTGGCAACCCAGGGCTTGGATAGGGGCACTCTGTGCTGGGGTAGGAACTGACTGGAGGGCTGGGCCCAGAGAGTGGTGGGGAACGGTGCTGCATCCAGTTGGCAACCGGTCACTGGTGGTGTCCCCCAGGGATCAGTGTTGGACCCAGTTTTATTTCAATATCTTTATCGATGATTTAGATGAAGAGATTGAGTCCACCAGGAGCAAATTTGCAGATGACACTGAGTTGGGGGGAAGTGTTGATCAGCTGGAAGGCAGGAGGGCTCTGAAGAGGGACCTGGACAGATTGGAGAGTTGGGCTGATTCCAACGGGATGGGGTTCAACAAGGCCAAGTGCCGGATCCTGTACTACAGGCTGGGGCCAGAGTGGCTGGAGAGCAGCCAGGCAGAAAGGGACCTGGGAGTTTGGATGGACAGGAAGCTGAACATGAGCCAGCAGTGTGCCCAGGTGGCCAAGAAGGCCAGTGGCATCCTGGCCTGTATCAGGAACAGTGTGGCCAGCAGGACCAGGGAAGTGATTCTTCCCCTGTACTTGACAGTGGTGAGGCCACACCTCAAGTACTGTGTCCAGTTCTGGGCCCCTCAGTTGAGGAAGGATACTGAGGTGCTGGAGCAGGTCCAGAGAAGAGCAACGAGGCTGGTGAAGGGACTCGAGCACAAATCCTATGAAGAGAAGCTGAGGGAGCTGGGGTTGTTTAGCCTGGAGAAGAGGATGCTCAAGGGAGACCTCATCACTCTCTACAACTCCCTGAAAGGATGTTGTAGCCAGGTGGGGGTTGGTCTCTTCTCCCAGGCATCTATCAGTAAGACAAGAGGGCATGGTCTTAAGCTGCGCCAGGGGAGGTTTAGGTTGGATATTAGGAAGAAATTCTTTACAGAGAGGGTAATCAGGCATTGGAATGGGCTGCCCAGGGAAGTGGTGGATTCACTGTCCCTGGAGATTTTTAAGATGAGACTGGATGTGGCACTTAGTGCCATGGTCTAGTAACCACAGTGGTGTTGGATCAAGGGTTGGACTTGATGATCTCGGAGGTCCCTTCCAACTCGGCTGATTTTATGATTCTATGATTCTATGATTTTGGTTAGTAGAGAAAGGGGAAAATAAGAAAGTGGAGATAATGAAGAGCTGGAGGTAGGGTATAGGCAAAAAGACTGGGAATTTCTTATGGATGGGAAGTCTAGGTATGTCTGTTGTGTTGACATATGATCAGATTAATATACTTAAGATATTGAACAATTTCATTATTACTTCATTTATGGAAATTCTTTGCACTTCTCTGTCTTTGACATGCTAGTGGGAGTTTTATGCTGAACCCATGCCCTGAATATTTTCTCCTTTTTTACTGTCTGTTCTTCTGCTCTCTCTCTTTATTGAATGTTTCTTTCTTGACTTGCGGTATGTTAATATAAAGTACTTGCTATATTAAATGCAGAAGTTGGATCCTAAATCTTCTAGGGTGCTAACTGAATTTAAAACTATTACTTGCCTTATTATAAATGTGATGAATACTTACCCAAAATGAAATGTAAACTAATAGACATGACCTGTTCAAGCCACACAAAACATTGATGAAAAGTTAAAAAAAAGACAAGTTACATTATCAGTCTAATTTCTGTTAAATCTTTTCCTATTTTTACTTAAAGTAGGAATACACTTTGCTACTTTTAGGTTTCAAGTCAGTCTGTTCCTGGCTCTGACTTTGTCCCAGGCCAGGATATGCTTAATACGGTTTATGAAGTTATTCAGCATGTTCCTGATCAGCCGCAACAAGACCACCAACAGTAAGTTAAAGGCTGTGTTCACTCATGTGGTAGCTCAAAGGCAAAAACTTCAGCATCTGGAACAATTTAAATTTTGGTAGCTGTTATTTGATTCCATTGAGAGGGGTAAGGAAGGAAAACAGGTAAAAGCTACACCAGTTCCTCCACCATTTCCTATCCAATTCCTCACTTTTCCTGAAGACACCAGTCTGTTGTTTCATCATGTCAGTTTTGTGTAAGTGTGAAAAAAAAGGTAAGATCTTCAAACACTATTTCAGATGAAAATTCCTGCATAATTTAAGGTAGTAACTATAGCTTCACAGCACTGGGACATCAGCACTTCCTACTGAGCAGGTTAAATATTCAATCAAAGCAATTTAATTGACAGCACAGCTTCCAGACCTGCCAGCCATGTGTCAAGTAGAGTTAGGGTGGGCTTTTTTGCCATGTTGAAACTGGTCAGCTGATCACTTACCAATGGTTATTAAAATAGCCACTGAAATATTAATGAACAATGCTTAGTTGCTTGAGTAAGCAGTGTCTTTAGAGCAAAAGAATTTTGTTCTGCAGTACCTTGTCTGGGAACTCCACAGAAACACTTTTGCTGAGTTAAATACCAGGAAGGCCACAGCATGTTGTTCTTATGTGGTTAGCGTCTGGTAGACCTGGTTTTGTTCAAGTCACCTACTGTGTAGCGCTTCTTTGCATAAGAAGAGTGGATACACTGTAAAGTTTCTGTAATTGCAGTATAGCTGCCATAAATCTTTTGTGAATATTGAAAGTCTTTCTTACAAATTAAGAACAGGACACAAGACTTTATTTGGTAACAAGCCTATTATATCACATTGTCCATGTTTTTATGATGTGTTCTATTTCTTTTTCGGTTGAAAAGAAAAATACACACTCTTACCCATATACTAATCAGTTGGCTTAATAATCACAGTGTTTATGTGACTGCATTAGCATGCTGTACTTACAGCACAAAAAATTTTGTGCCAGTTTTATCTTCAACTGTGTGTCCAAATTACGTATGCAAACATACAGCCATGGTTGTAAAAACAAGTTGTGAGAAAGCAACAATGAATTACTAATTATGCTTTTGTTCTGCTTGGCATTTTTCACTTTGAACCCTAAGATGATTTTTAAAGCCAGATGTAAAAATAGCATTCATAAAGTACATATTTTTTTTATTCTTCCCTCCTACATGTCTTCCTTCTCAATTCTCTCACTGATGCATGACCCCTCTGAAAAAAGGAATAAATGCAACAAAAAGGTAACTTCAACTTTGTGACAGTTCAGATTTCAACTCAAACTTCGCAAAGCATATTCTGTAGTTGTAAAGAACTAATTTGCATAAACCTGTTTTGCTGCTCTTTTCATATTTCATATTTTAAAAAAGAAACATAGGAACAGAATTTTCACTAATAACACAAAATCTGCTAAGCATGATACTGGGTAAAATACTCAGATTAGAAAGACCATGTTCATGAATTTTCCAATTCCTGACCTGCTGAGAAGGAACACTGAGTGATAAATAAATAAGGACAACAGTGAACACTGGTGCTTACAGCAGGATGCTTCAGCATTCAGTATAAGGGAAAAACAAAACACTACAGAACAGGAAATAAAGCTGGGAAAGTAATTGCAAACTCCTGTAGTGCAAAGTAATGATTGCTTATGGATGAATCCCACAGACTTGGTATGCAGCCATCTGTACAATAATCAGCAATATTCATGAGAAAAACGGTACAAAACTTGCTTGCGCTCTGCTTATGGCAGGAATCTCTCTTTGTACAAAACAAAAAGAACAGATATGGGAGCCAAACAGGTTTATTAGTAAACTGATCAGTTTGCTCTTATTCCCAGTGCTTCCAACTGGAACTGCTGTAATTTTATAAATTTATTAAAATAAATGTGCAAAGAAAAGTCAAAAGCAATGTTTCATTCTCAGATTTGCAGTCTGAAAATCCTTCAAATCCTCTCTTGAGTGTAACTTCACCAGCATTAGCTGGTGTTCTCTCTCTTGCTCTTAGAAATCCAAATGAGAGTACAAGCACATTCACAGACTAGCCAATGCCTAACACCTGGGAATAGCTTTTCCCTTCCACTTTTCTTTGTGCTTTTATCAGCATTTTTATCCTTTTATCCACACATGCACTTATGCCTTTGACACTCTATAAACAGTTACAAAATTTTAAATGCACATCAGCTCTTAAAAGGTAAAAATACTGCTAAAAAATAATTAAACTCTTCAACTCTCTTGGGTTTGGACTGCTGGACTCATAACCTAATTGCAGTTGAAACATGAGGTGAGATGATAGCTGGCTGTGCAAAGTTTTATATTCATGTGTTCACATTAGTTGCTGTTCACAACAAGCTTTTGCAGATTCACCTCCTCTGCTCCTCAAAAGAATCAAATGGAAAACTCAAAGTCAGATTTTGAGGAAACTGTTCTGCTCCATCTCTCCACAGTCAGTGGGAGTTACAGGACTGTCACATACTCAAGTATTTCATTAAGACTCTTTTAAGCCATGTTGGTTTGGGGGTTTTATGACATTTTTTGCACATTTTTTTCAACAAAATATAAATTGTGTGACAAACAGGACAATAGGCTCTTCCACATATGAAAGAAATATGAAAGTGGCTGTAAATGCTAATGAGCTAGAGATTTAGCCAGCTTTTACAGATAAACACTGACAGCCCTCAACTGTTCTCATAACAGAAACTCTTTGTAACTTGGTTTTCATTTTCACTCCAAATGAAAATAATTTTACATCATCTCCCTCTCCTCTGATCCACAGTGTTTCTCTCAGATCAAGAATTAATCATTTCACAGATTTCTGCTCTGCCAGCTGCTGAAGAGCAGTGAGGATGCAAAGTCTTGCCAGGCATTTCAGCACAGGGTTTGTACTGTGGACTGCACTGACTCAGCCCACCATTACCACCACCCTTTAGCAAGTGCTCCAATACATTATTGTTGGTAATGCATGAGCAGCTTGAAATATCTGTACTGAAAGAGCAGCAATGCAGGGTGCCATATTAGCAATTATATTATCTATGGCTCAAATCTGTCTTGTCTTTTAAATATTAGACATATTATGCATACTGAAAATTCAGTCAATGGGTTGCAAATGTGCCCCAAGAGCAGGCTGAAGAACTGTTTTACTTCTGTAATTAGAACTGCTGGTTTGTTTACATGTTTACAACAGTGGTTTTTTTAAAGAAAAGAAAGGCAGCATTGTGGACAACTGTTATATATATCTATATATATGTTCTTTCCTAGATGTATATGAAGACATGGGAACAGGAAATCAAAGCATCTGCAAGTACTTCTTTTTCTTTATAACATACTGAAAGGAAATGCCAACAACTCCAAGAATGGCAAAGGCTTATGCCACCTTTGCTTGAAATAGCAATTTTTCTTCAGACTGACAGTCCCTTTCCTTGGGGTGCTCCAAACTGCCCATTTCTTAATTTTTTCTTTTTTAAAGTAATAATTCACTGAAAAATACACGTATTTTTCATTAATTTCTTTTCCTTATTGGTGAACAGAAAAGACAAAGAGACAGCTTTAAAAATGCAGTATAAAACATATATTTTAGTAAAATAATCAGTAGAGGCACAAGAAGAAATCAGGCCCAAGATGCCACCCTCACTTGTTTTATTAAAAAATGGCAAAAATCGCATATGAGAGTTTTTCATTGGTGTTGACTTTTACAAGAATACTGCCATGAAAAGTAATAAATGCAATATGACAGATTGCAAAATACATTTGAGGTTTAAAATAAAGTCTTTTAACTCTTTTAATGTGACACTGTATTTTAATTTACAAGCATAGAAGCTGATCTGTCAGGCAGTTAGAATTTAAAAATGTACATATGTATATTATTCAAAATAATGTGTTCTCATTAAATTCTGTTTCCTTTGCATTTTAACTGTTTTTCTATTTTCTGCTGAAGAGCATGTTTCTCATTGACTAGGAGAGCAAGTAATATTCAAGTCATTTCTTAAAGCTGCAGAATGTTCAGGCTATTTGTATATTAAAATTGTAATTCACCAGTGCAAATGAAACCGATCTTACTCTGTTTAAACAGTGTGCTACAAGTACCTTCACAAATAGAGGAATACTCTTCCAGAATCTTCTGTTAGCAGGCATCTGAATCCTGCAGAAAAATTCACTATTATTTCCTCAGAGTCAGCTATTAGATGGTGTCAGTTGGCTGCAGCCAGGGAAAAGGGGAATTATGAACTGAATTAATCTGCAGAAAAAAAAAAAAGGATACTTCAGTAACAGCTAATTGTGTGGGAAATCATTAGTGTGAGTAATGAGAAAGCATACAGTGTCTCCATCCTTTAAGACAGGCTGAATGGGATTATTTAAAGCACTCTTGTTTATGAAAAGTTATTTCCACTCATTTAAAGTACCTCCCTAATAAGCATTTAGTAAACATTCTTCCTGTCTCCATCTTTAAAACACAAGGAAAAATAACACAGTTTTCGGTGAATATTCTGATCTTGTGATCCTGAAAAAAAGGGAAAAGGACATCTTCACCGTTGCGTGTGAGGAAAATAGGATTTGGCATTTCACAGAGGCAGCTGATGCAGCCCAAATATGCAAGAAGTACTGATGTAATCTAAAAGAATGTAGTCACCAGATTTGCTCCCTAAGAAATAACCCTCTGACATGAAGGCATCAGGCAGAGGCTGTAAGTATAAACATTTGGGCAAAATTCTAAAGTACTGAAGTTGTCCCGAAGGACTTACTTAGGAACTCAGGGGGTTCCCCACAAATTCCCCCATCGTTCATTTAAAGCTGACTTCATCTGTGTGTTTCACATTGAGACAGCCCTTTGGGATGTGCGAAGTCTGATTTTCCGCTTCTTTTTCTTTTCTTGATGGAGTGCTCTGAAATGAGCATACGGATTTCTTGAGACCATTCCATCCAGACCATCTCAGACGTATAATGTCACTGCAGGGCCACAGGGCAGCAAGTGCAAATGGATTAAAAAAAAAATTACTGTTTCTGCATCTCTAGAGCCTTTGTATTTAAAACTGACAGTAGTATACATTTTTCTAAGTTTTTCTGATGAAAATAAAAAGAATTGGTTCAATATCAGTTCTGTTCTGCATGCTTTTAAGCTCATTTAGGCCCATGCCTAAGTGCATTTTAAGTTTCCCCAAACATTTTGTTTCAGAATCTGTGTATGTGTCTTGATAATGGATCAGCAAGCTGTTTTGGATTAAGCCATTTGTCAATAATGTGAGATGACCTCAGCAATCCAAGACAAAAGTCCACCCTAACAGTCTATCAAACTTCTGCAAAATACCTGTAAAAATACCTGTAAAAATACCTGTAATTTTAATAAAATAATTTTGTTTATGCATCACATAATGCCTAATAGTTCTGTGGGTCCATTTATGGCTATGCATTTTCACTGGAAAGGTCACATAGCATTAGGTTGGTAGATAAGAAACAAAAATCTGCCTGTTGAAAGTAAATTGTTCCCCGGGGGTTCTGTATGCAGGTCATGGTTGCCGCATTCTCACTCTCCACTTCCACATTCTCACTCTTCACTTACAACCAAAATTTACAGAGAAAAACTCAACTGGTAGGGAAATTTATTTTATTTTAGAAAGAAGAAATATTCATTGTCTGGGTTAAATAATTCTACTAGCCATGGCAGCAGAACCAGCTCTGCAAATAGAATTATGTTATTGCAAGGGACAGAAAGCAAACACAGGCGAGTTGTCTTCTGCTGATATTATATTGTTCTCATCTATTTTTCTTTCACTGCATCTCGTGTATTACTAGCTGTTAGCCAAACATCTGTTGGTGGTTTAAACTCCTATTCAAACTGTGCTCATTCTTTACTGTTCTTCCCAAATCTGCACAGTGCATTGAGCTACTTTTCATGGAGAAATACTTTCGGTGGAGGTATAAAAACAATAAACAATGGGGAAAAAACAAATTCTGAAATGTGATGTAATTTTAATGGATGAAAAAGGCAGCCTTTTCATATTGTATTCTTGCTCTTTTCTCCCTGGAACTACAACATTCAAAAGAGATTGATAAGTTTTTATTTATTAATGTAAAATCTTTTCCAAATTTTACCAAGCCTGTGGAAGGTTTATCCAGTGAACTAGATGATGTATACATTGGGCTGTTCAAATATGAGTTGGGTATAATGCAAAAGCAGTATGTTCAAAGCTTGAAATGGGGTGGGAGGAGATTTTAAAAAAGTCTTGCCATGTTTTTCCCCCAGTCCTTTTGGTGGAGGCTTTTGCCATTTCATTTACCCACTGATAAGGGTCAAGAATGGCTTTGATCAAGTGAGGCTGTGGACTTGAGATCAAAGGTGGGGAACATAAAACTCTGGAAGTTTGAAGTGTAGGAAAAGCAACAGCAGTCAGACCATCTCCAGGCACTTGTACCAAGTCACAAGGTGGTGTGTAGTACTTGATCTTTTCTTACTGCATAGCTTAAAGGCAATTCATAAGAATACTGAAGAATATGGGCTGTCACCACTGCTCATATGGGAATGCTCCATCTTACACTTTGTTATGGCTTTGAAATATTAACCCCTTCTTACGGGGCAACAGACTATATTCCACAGTCTTATTATGACTGCAGGAAGACCAAGACCAACAGTGTCCTGGGCAGCATTAGGAGAAGCATTGCCAGCAGGGTGAGGGAGGTGACCCTTCCCTTCTACTCAGCACTGGTGAAACACATCTGGAGTGCTGGGTCCGGGGCTGGGCTCCCCAATACAAGACATGGACACACCAGATCAAATCCAGAGAAGACCCACAACAGCGATCATCTGCCATACAATGGTGAGCTGAGAAAGCTGAGACTGTTCAACCTGAAGAAGAGGTGCCTCAGGGGGATCTTATCAATGTTTATAATATAAGAAAAATCTTTTATAGTGTCAAGGTGGTCACACTCTGGAAGTGGCTGGCTGCCCAGAGAAGCTGTAGAGTCTCTGTCCTTGAAGATATTGCAAACCCACTGGATGCAGTCCCAGGCAACCTGCTGTAGTTTAACTAAAATTTGCAGTGGCCCATGCCATCTAAGGAGAGAATCTGGGATGCAAAGCATAGAATTACTAGACTAATTATTTTATTCATGCATACGAGGTATTCCATTCAAAGCAATGCAAGCGTTCAGGTGCAACAGGATTTTACGAATTGCTGCTTAACAAACACACACTACCATTTACTCACCATAGTAAAACTTCACAAAGCAACTATATTTATATGATTCATCATCCACCAGCTTCTTTATTGATCAGATGGCCCTGGAGTTGGTCTTGCTATAGTTACTTATCTATGGAGACAGACAGTGAGAAGGTTTCAAATATATGTTAGAAGGGCTAGGGCTAGGATGCTGGCATTATCTTAGTTGTCCAGGGGTATCTTTTATCCTTCATGGACAGTTTTTAAGTTTCCAAGAAGTAAAGTACTTATCTCAGGGACTAGGTTGTCCTCATCATTATCATGAGCTGGGGCACTTTGTTTTGCTTGCTTAAGCATGGCTATTCAGTATACAATGTAAACTATACATAAGTTTGAAAGTTGATACAATTTTATACTGTAAAGATTAATTGGTATAATAGCTAGGGAATGAGATTTTCCTGAGACCCTGCTTTGAGCAGGAGTTGGACTAGATGATCTCCAGAGGGCTTTCCAGCCTTAGTCGTGCTGTGATTCTGTGAGCTCGGGGAGGGAGATGATTAGTACGTAGGTCTCAGCAAAAATGACACTAGCAGTTATAACACAATGAGTTCATGTTAATGTAGAGGGAATGTATGCCTCCAGATAACACTCCCTTAAACATGCATGGCCAGCTAAGCAAGATATAAAACACAGTACTGTGCACGGTACTGTGCATGTACCTCCATGCTTTAGCTGTAGAAAGCTGAGACTTGAAAAGGAGAGACCTTATTGTTTTATGATCTCAGGTTAAAACAATTTTTTAAGCAGCTTCTTTTTTATTTCTTCTTTTGCCTTACTCAAATAAAATAGAATTACGTATTTTCTATGGACTTTCTTTGGTGTTAGCATAATTCCTTTGGAAATCTGTCACCACTATGGTGCTATAATGTATCTGTATCATATATCTTTCTGGAAGCTAGAGGGCAATGGCTTCCCACAGGACATGGCAGGAGCTTCTGGATAACTGTGCATGGGACAGTGAGAAAGAGAAAGGGAAAGGAGCTTATATTAGTAAACACTAACTTCCTGGTAGACACATGAATTGATCGTGTCTCATGTGAGTTGTACATTTGAAGGAGGACTATTTCCTCTATCCTCTGTCCTGGAAGAGGCTTCCTGATTTATAGAAGCTACTTTCTAGGTAGCTAAATGGTTGTATTGTGAATATTTTTGTGGCTAACCAAGTATTTTTTTAATGCTGCTGTATTAGATGCCCTTGAACAGTCAGTCATGCTCTATTTTTGAGTATATTTTCTACCCATACACAAAAAACTGCAGAATGTTGTTCATAAGCATCTCTTAAAAACTTTCAAGTGCAGTATCCAATCTTTATCATTGGCTGACAGTATAACAGTCTATGTAAGTCTGTACAGAAATGTTTTGCTCAACAAGTAGTTCTTCCTAAAGACTCATGAGTATGAAATGAGCCCAGCTTCTACAGAGTAGGAGCCCTGCTCCCTCACTGCCTTTCCGTGGAGGCCATAGGACTTTTCTAGAGAGGCAGAACTGCTCCAAAACTTTCCAAACACTTCACAAGCAGATATAGAGAGATCACATTGTAAGCAATGAAACTGAGGCAGCCTTGTGATGGAAAGTGACAGTTGTGCCGTGTCATCAAAATAATGAGGGAAAAAAGCAAATTATCATTTCATGATGAGAATCTGTGGCAAATAAACAATAGACAAAAGATTAGACATCTTAAGAATCCGTTCAAGTGTAAATCTGCATCACAGTTCAGTTAAACATGCAATGCAAATACCAGCATGTTGGAAATCCTGCTCCACCTAGAAAGATAATATGAATGTATCTCCTCAGGCTATGTGCTGCGTTCCAGGGCAAAGTACAAAGCTCTTTGTAACTCAGATACAATTTAACATAGAGATATTAGGGCAGGGCTTCTGACCTAGAGCAACTCAATACAATAGCATACCCCAGCCAAAAATTAACACATGTTCTTATTTAGGAAACTACTGTCAAAGGTCAACACTTATATCTTCATCAAGGTACATATTTTTTATTTCCTGTAGTGCTAAAAAGTATCTTCTATATAACTGGGTTTCATCTTAATAGTAAAGGTATAAGGATGTTTTGCTAAGTCAAGACAAAAGCTTACCTGGGAGAGAACTAAATTGTGTTGGACATCTTTCATATGTTTTCCTTAGAGCTACACTTTCCTCTTTAACTTCATCTTGCTAAATTTTTGTATGCTGATTAATCAAATCATATTAAATTCAAAACCTGGCTTTCAAGCGCTTTTGAGGTCCTTTGAGTCTGTCGTGCTTAGTCCCATCCACAAGTTATATTTAAAAGCACAGAAAATTCCAAATACATCCAAATATTCTGGATCACTATTCTAAACAGCAGGTTAGGACAATGAGAAAATTGGATTCCATTTGAAATTCCTTTCAAGTCTGTCTGAAAATACAGCCAAATGAGGAAAGCTGTAGAGAAGCAACATAAATGAGAAAAAGTTTAGAACAGGCCTAAAAAAAACATTTTATCTTGGTGGGAAAAGGTACAAAGAAAGATGAAGTAAATCCTTTAGTATGTAGAAAATTTCTTCTAACAAAAGGAGCTGTGATCACTTCTTGTCCATCTCTAATAAGACAAGGAAAAGGAAAGACCCACTTGGGTCCTCTGAGAGGTCTGCAGGTTCCTTCTGTCGAGACACCTGGTAGTCCAGCTTTTTCCAGTTCTCTGACTCCCTAAGTTTCTCAGACACAGGTATTCAGCACTGGCCACAGAGCTCAGGGGGCCAAATTATGTAAGTAACATAATTTGGGTTTCAGCCCCTCAGGCATCCTTGCTGTCTGTCTGCACTGCTACCAGTACTCACACTAGCTAATTCAGCTAAGTTTGCACAACTTGAAGTCATAGCAGCATGTAACTTCACAAAAATACTACTGAGCTTCAGCATGCATCCCCATCTGACTGCCAGCATGAGAAGGGAAAACAGAGTGCCATTTGTCAATGATGCCTCTTTTGGAAACTGGGAAAAGAAAAGACTACTCAATAAATGTATTTGTTCCAGCTTCATCAATCATTCATATAATCTACTTAGAACTTCCAACACAAGAAATAAGGGTTGTGAAGTATAATTTTGTAACATTGCATAACGC